CTTTTGGTTGCAAATTAGCTGTTGTCATAAATAAAAAAAAAGTGCTGCACCCTGTTGGTAATCCTTGTAACTTTAATGCTATTGAACATCATAGAACAGAACCAACTTGCTTAATTGAAACAGCTGTTAAGATTCATTAATTCCATTTAAATATGAGTACTCATAAGTTTAACATGGGAAACTCCAGAGCCACTGGGGCGGAGCCCGAGAGTCTGATCAGAATAAAAACAATTTAGTTTTCCTATTTAATGCCTAAAGAATCAGTGTACCAAATTTCAGCCTCCTAGGTAAATGGGAAGTGGGAGAATTAGTGATGAGTGAGTGAGTGAGTCAGTCAGTGAGGGCTTTGCCTTTTATATATATAGATTACCGCTTCGATATTCACCTAGGGCTTTGCCCCGTGGGCTTTCAAAAATCTGAGATGAGAGATTTAAAAGTAAATATTGATTTATGGTATCCATGGTAACAAAGAACAAACCTAGTAAGTTTAAAAATGTAAACAAGCAGAACTAACTGTCAAATTGATTTTGATTTCTCAATTCAACACAGCTGGTTCAAACCTTATTAAATACTGCACGAATATTAGAACAGGGAGGGTAAGGATTATAAATTTAAATAATGATGTCACTAGCCTGAATTTATTTAACATTACCTAAAGGAGCTGTCAAACCATATGTTAATGTAATTTCATTATTTTAGGATTGTTTCAGTTACAGTACTTCATTTGTTTATGATCTAACTATACTGAGTCTGTTATAATATTTGTGAAATGTTGTAATATTATTTATTTATTTTTATAATAATTCATTTTAAAATAAATCATTCAATGGATATAGGAAATAATCAACATTCTATATTGCCCTATCAACCTAGGCCCTTATCCTGAGTTATGGGGTATATTCTTTTGATTTATTTGTTTGTAAACAGTAATATAATCCCCCTGCCCCAGCAAACCTATAGACTGAGCCAATTCCCGTTTGCCTGATTATAATTTCACTAAAATATGTTAGAAAATTGCCCTATTAACATGTTTGGAACTATTGTGATAGGTTTTCGTTTACAGTGCATACCATTAAACACATTCTTTTATTATAGGTATATGTGTGCCACACTATAGGATACCGTATAAATTAAAAGACCATATTTTCTTAGACCGTTTCTTCTCCCATCACTGCAATGATCATGTTCTACTTATATGCCAACCCCGTACGAAGGTCGGGTATTCTACTAGTTATTAATAAAGTTGAGAATACTAAAGGTTCTACAAAACAAAACATTGAATAATAAAAATACATTTGTATGAAAGTAACAGATAGATTGACAAAATTGTAAAACGATCGTATAATATCTAACAATATCAAATTATTTACAGTATCACGGTTACAACTTTTAAACTACTTTTGTTATGACTCAATGTTAACCTCTTTAGGACCTTTCATTTTATGCTTTTGTTAGTGGGGACTGGTTAAAACACCACAGTAGGTTTTACAAATATGATTGTGAGATGATATTATAATCTGAACTAGATTATGCGTGTTGATAATAATATGTATTTTAATTTAAGTACTTCAATTGATTCGGTTATATGTTTACCTCATATAACATTTGAACATGGATTGAAACATTAGATGTCTTTGGAATACTCTGAGAGTGAGAAGCAAAACATAACTTTCAGCAATGATACATCGAAATCTACCTTTACTGACTGATTCAGAAATGTAATTGCAAAATATTTTGTCAACATGACTAAAATGTTAAAAAAATAGATTTATCAGCACGAAATAGTTTGTAAGATAAAAAAAAGCAGTCTAGGACAACTTATATAGCGTTCTAACCTCAAACATTGTTATCGTTTCAGTGTACAAATTCAATTGATACAAAATAACTACGTTACCAATTTATGTGTGTAAACAAAAATCAATTTTTTAATGGTTGCGTAGATCAATTTAAATTATTATTTACTACACAAATTATTTGTAATGTAAAACATTGTTCACCACTCGGAGCAAAAGTATATTATTTATGGTACTTAAATTGTTTTATAGTACGTGGCAGTATAGTATTATTAGTATTATTAGTATTATTAGTTTATTAGTTGCTTGTTGCACTGTTCTACACACTGCTCAAGCTCTACAGCTCATTAAGTGGCATACTGTCCACACACTGTTGATATATACTGAATTGTGGCATGGTGCCACTATTTCGAGTGTAGGCTGGCGCGAGAATTGGCAACGTAGCATTAGGAAAGTTATAGTTCCGGCGGACGGCGCGAGGCGCGCTAGCTACCTGTATGGTTTCGTGTTCCACAATTCGGTGTGTACCTGCGCTACTTAAACTCACATCAACGAGTTCAAAAATACTCAATTGTGGCATGTGATGTTTAAACGACGTAATAATGCTGGAAAACCTCAAAAATGATCGAATTAGCTGTGGCACCCTGAAAAAGGTGCCACAATTTTTGAAGGTGCCACAGTACGGCCGTGTGCCTGTGAAGGATGCCACTATTCGGTGAATACAAACACACATATATATACCTATAAAACAACTTGAACGAACAATGTTTTTGGCTTCTGGGGACATCAAAATGAAAAAGTTAATTGATCCTGGGGCTAGATCTTACCATGCTACCTACAGTAATAGCTACTTCCCTATAGGAAAATTTGCTAAAAGCCATTGAAATTTCAGTTAACCGATATGCAATGGTTTCATACTTGGAATTGTTTCAACTAATATAATTTCCAAACCCTTTATATCAATTTGGTTAATCGGTCTAAACATATTGGTGTTATATTTTGCTAAGCCATTGAAATTTCAGTTAACTGATAAGTAATGGATTCATACTTGGAATTGTATCAACTAATATAATTTCTAAGCCCTTTATATCAACTTGGTTGATCATTCCAAACATTTTGGTGTTATATTTTGCTAAGCCATTGAAATTTCAGTTAACTGATAAGTAATGGATTCATACTTGGAATTGTATCAACTAATATAATTTCTAAGCCCTTTATATCAACTTGGTTGATCATTCCAAACATTTTGGTGTTATATTTTGTTAAGCCATTGAAATTTCAGTTAACTAGTTATGGTTTCATACTTGGAATTGTATCAACTAATATAATTTCCAAGCCCTTTATATCAACTTGGTTAATCATTCCAAACATTTTGGTGTTATATTTTGTTAAGCCATTGAAATTTCAGTTAACTAGTTATGGTTTCATACTTGGAATTGTATCAACTAATATAATTTCTAAGCCCTTTATATCAACTTGGTTAATCATTCCAAACATTTTGGTGTTATATTTTGTTAAGCCATTGAAATTTCAGTTAACTGATAAGTAATGGTTTAATATTTGGAATTGTCTCAACTAATATAATTTCCAAACCCTTTATATAAATTTGGTTAATCGTTCTAAACATTTGAGTGTTACATTTCATTACAACTATTGAGGAAAAGTTTACATAACATATTTGTTAGACAAAGCATTCATCCAAAGTTGAACATACACAAATTCAGGTATTTGTGAAGTACTCATTGTATGTATCCAGTAATAGTTCACATCATTCAATTACATCCACCACAAATTCAATTATGAAGTTATCCATCATGCTTTGCATTGTTTTAAGAGGCCACATAACCCATTTATCTATCAATTATATCCTTAAATGCAAACCATAAAGCTGTATCATTTGTAAAGTTTGAAGCATTTATGTAAAAATGATGGTTTGAGTACTGAACTAGAGCAGAATGATTATATTTTAAACAAATACTTTACCATTGTTTTAGCAGAAGTAGATTTGAAATGAAATGAAAATCCTTCTTTATTGGGACAAACTTAGGACCACATGGTCCTTTCTTACAGTTAACCTCTAAAAAACTAATAATAACAACAAAATATTAATAAAAATACAATAAAGTTTGTAACATACCAAGAAAACAGATTTGGGCTCATGCGAAAAGGGATGTATACAGAAGGATTATCATTAGGTTAAAAGTCAGGGCAGCCTGTTCTAAAGTATATGATTTATCCATCAGATATAAAATTTTTGTCATGTTTTGTGCCTTTAATAAGAATAGTCATTACAGTATAATATTTTAGGGAAAATTTGTCATTCATAATAAATGTACTTAACCTTTGAAAACTATTTTGTTGGTTAGACAACTATCACTACATCACTTGTCTGAATTTATCATGAGGTGGCAATCCAAGGAGACTTTTCCAGAATAGCCCAGGTTTTGATTAACCTCAGAATAAAACAAGGGTGCATCTTGTTTTGGATTTCTAACACAATTAAAGGGCTGTTGACAAAATATGTAGATTATACTGTATACACCACAAATAATTCTAAAACTGCAACCACACTCTATTTTATTATATTAAGGTCTCACGTTTTGGTTAAGCTTTTGATAATTTAAGTAGATGGCTGAACAAATTGTATATACAGTTAAAATTTCATGAATTTTAGTTTCAAAGCTTCATAAGAAAAGTTACAGAAAGCAAAGAAAATAGTCTATTAACTTATAGTATTCTATACTTATGAAACTTATATTCACACTAATACTGTTATTTCACAAGACGATAAATACATTTAGAAGATGGTAAGTGGTGATTGATTTTGGTGACAATCCTCATTTGCTCATTGGGTCTGATGATGATTTGAGTGTCTAATCAAAATCAATCACCACTTATCATCTTTTAAATGTATTTGCCGTCTTGTGAACTATCAGTATATAAGTGTAAAAATGTTTCAATAGTGTTATTAGAAATATTTGATTTACACTCTGTAAATTGAATAACAGGTACAATGCTGATCTAAAAGTTATGGAGCAAAGTTAGTAAAAATCTGAGTGTTTCTACTTTGTGCAACCATTTGGTTTAAAAACTACAACCAAAAGTGTCCCTGAATCTATAAAAATAACTATGAGGGTACAACCCCATGTGATTGAAGTGGTAAAGGACTTTTGAATCAACAAATGACACTTGCTTCTCATTTTTCAGGAACACGATGATTGATACAACGACCAAGCAGCAAGTGGTGGTGGTGGGGGAGAGGGAGAAAAGCGGCAAGAAGAAACAGTCTTCAGCTTTCCGAGAACCTCAGCGGAGACACAACGCCATCAACCTCCCTAAGAACTTGATAGACAGTGACAGTGAAGACTATGAGTAAGTAAAGTACAGTGTAAATGTGTCAAATGAAACTAAAATACATTCAATCCTCATCAAACCTGACACCATTAATAACAGTCAGGACTTTCGCTTAATTGGCAAACCCATTTGACAGCAGCAGTTAATGCAAAATTTGTGAACCATATATACCTTGTAATTGTACGAGTATAGTGTGATAGAAAAGTCCCGGAACGGTGTAATATATTGTTTACCATTATAGATATAAAGTAATGAGACTTAGGGCCGGTTGCTGAGCTCGGGATTTAGCTAAGTTCTAGACTTAAACCGGCTTTAGACTCTGGAGTCAAAAAAATGGCTAGCTGAGTCAGGGCGTTAGCAAAGTTCAGAACTTAATAGACTCTGGAGTTTATTTGACTAGTTAAGACTCTGGAGTTTAAAATTTGACTTGCTGAGTCAAGGATCTATAAGTCCAGGACTTATCTTAGATTCTCGTCTCTTGCTGAGTCAAGGATTTAACAAAATTCGTTAAGTCCAGAACTTAAAACAGTACGATTTTAGATCCTCGCCAAGGGCGGGATTTAAATTAGATTCTAGACTTTACAGAGTGTATTAACCTTGTTTGCGCGTTATATCATCATCATATTATTCCGTATATATTAGGAATCCATATTATGTATCATCCTAGAAACTGGAATTGATAATATATCAATAATAACCATAAATGTCTACTCTCTAGGTTTTTATCACTTTTTATCCCATAAGGGATAACATTTTAAAATAGCAGCATAGGTTAAGTTTGGTATCAAATTAAAAGTATTAGTTGGTAGAACACATTACCGCAGACCCAAACTCAAACGGACTACCAAGTCAAAAATGTCAGCCATTTAAATATTTCTTGAATTTGCCATTTTGAATCTTTGCACGGCTGCCATTTTTACTCAGTAGTTATTTTGAGCTAAAATTTGTGGCATTGTATTCTGCTTAAAAAGAAAATTTGATATGCATATCGACCTATGCTTAGGTTTTTGTTACAAATTCTGGTTTATAATACTATAAAGTAGGTAGCGTATAATAGCATTGCAAATTCAACGGATCTTTGAACAGCTATCATTTTTGACTCGGTTGTCCGTTTGAGTTCGGGCTTGCGGCAATGAGAGGAGACATCTACCTAAAGACCTTTTAATTTAATACTAAACTTGTCCTATGCTGTTATTTAAGAATTTTATCTCAACTCCTCGTGGGTTATAAAAAAGTGGTAAAAGCCTAAAAGTGTAGATATTTACAGTTAGGTATTATTGATATACAATGTCTCTTTACTTGATCTATAATGGTAAAAAATATATTACACCTGGGACTTTTCAATCACACTGTATATGTTAAAGTATAACTTAACAACTTTTTGTATTTTTGGGTTCAGGATACTTTGTTCAAGCTTTGTTTCTGTAAAACGTGACTTCTTATAAAAAAATCTTCCGTTAAATTTTTTTTTTCTCTAGACTATTGTCTTTAAGGTATTGACCAATTTGATCTTATATTATCACTAAATAATTAATAAATCTTATAATATAGGTTATTATATTTACTAAATTTATATACTACATAAGTACAGTATCACAATTATTAAGAGTAGAGTATTAATAGTAAGTAAGAGAGGAATGAATTAATGAAAGTTGCAATTGTTTATCGATCTAAAGGCCCTATCTATCACAACGAATTTGAACTTGTCCCTCAATCACATTAACTCATATATCAGTGTGAGGATGGTCGTACGGGAATGAATCAAAGATCGGATTTTTATCAATTATAAACATTTTGCAATTAATTTTTATAGAAACTGGTTCTTAATTTTGCTCTTGGTATGGATGATCTAATCTAACTAAGGTAATGCCCAAGGTTGATGAAATAGTTATAATTTTAGAAACAGTTTATGATTTTATCTCACCTAATAGTTTTCAGTATTACAATATTACTCAACTTTATTTTAATTTTGGTTTCAAAACATTCAAAGTAATGTAATAAAATAAAAGTTGCTTTTGTTCCTCATTAATGTCTGTATTTAAAAATGCAATTTTGAACAAGAACATGAATCAAGCATGTATGAACATGAAATCTAATATCACTAGGATAAGAAATATTTATTTGTGTTAGAGTGAATTAGAAATGAGATTTGACAGGTCATTCCAATCCAAAGGCAATATTGCTTTAATATCTTGTGGCAGCCTTAGTTACCAAACCTTCCTACCTAGTCATTGAGATAATATGGAATAATTAAGCACATAACCTAACTATTCCACATAGACGAATCAAGATAACATGAAATAACTTCTTTGATGACATGAAACTTAGAATTGGGCTTAGAATTTTTTTTTTAGTGAACCATTGGATCGCTAAATGAACTTGATATTATTGACTTTTAATTTAAGCTAAAAACCAAATACTGGTATACAATTAATTTGGTGCATACATAAACTATCATTAGAAGCAATGTTTAATAAAAAAAATAATAAAAAATTTAAGTAACTTTTTTATTTGGTAATAAAAAAGTTGGTTACAATAATTAATTATTGTAACCAACTTTTTTATTACCAAATAACTTGCTTTTCTTGTTTGAATTCTTGAGTAATAGTTCTTACTTTAAAGAGTTGGGAGAGTTACTTAGGAGCAACATTGGACTTTGGTTGATTTTATTGGGCATAAGTAAAAAAAAATTAAAAAATTAAAAATTACTTGTGAAAAGTTAAGATTATCTGATCAAAATTACATCTATTCTAAAGATTGTCAATCAGGAATCCCAATTGACAAGTAAAAATGCTCAAGTTTTTTAGGTGAGAGATTATTAATTATACCATAATTTCTTTTGATTTGATCTTGTTGTTCAATGTGTTGTTTTCAATGCAATAAATCTCTATCTCCCAGAAAAGAAATATGTTTTTTGTATCTGCAGAACTTGGAGGAATTGAACCTTATTTAGAATTAAACTTAGCATGTTTTATACACGATATAGAGTTAGTCCAGTAAATTTTCTTATATTTCCCTTGAAGCGAAACACACTTAAATAAATGATTTTCAAGAAAATGTGTGTAATCACACATCAAAATGAATCTTGAAATAAACATGTTTTTAATTTATCTCACAAGAGTTGTTTACTTTTCTAATGGCTTTGTTTGAGAAGTCATTGTAAACGTTAACTTGCAATCTTCTTGGAAACAAACCCACTACCCACAAATATCGCATTCCACTTTGAGCCGATTTTGGTTTTGTCCTTTTATGAAAATGTCAGCACAGTTACCTTTACTGACATGTTTACTATCTGACATTGAAACGTACTCAAAATTATGGAATTGTCTTTCAACATTACCTCAGATGATATGTTCCCACTGTAAAGTTCAATTAAATTATATTATACTGTATACTCCGAACTAGCCCTGGTCAAAGACAAATATATCAATAACTACACAGTACAGTTGGTAGAACATCAGATATTAATCAGTGAATTGCTGGTTTGAAATACAATGGGACCGCAGCAACAAGACTCTTGATAACAAGTGGAGATTAAAATGCACTTTTCAATACCCTACAAATTTGCTCCTTCAAATTCTGTAAACTAACTGCAAGGTTAGATACATGGATCCTAATGATCTGAATCACTTGTTGAAACACTAAGAAGTTATTTGAAGAAAATGCAACTTTTGAGGTACTTCATACTACAATTTAGTGGTGAAGTGCTTACAAATTTATTTGAAATTGATTCTTTTTTGCAGTTTGACCTAATCCTACGCTGGTTGTACAACCCAACCCCAACGTTTTTATTAGTTTTTCAAGGTGATCTAACAAAGTATTTGGTTATTTAAGCTAATATAATAAGGCAAGGGTTATATGTATTTTTTTTGCAGTGAAGACAATTCTTCAGAGGATGAAAATGATGATTTCCCACACAATGGATATCTGTATGATGGAAACAGCAAGATAACTCCTGACCAACAAGTGATATGCAAGTTTGAAACCCTCTCTCTCGATGAAAAACAAAGCTCAAAGGATAAACTTGTACAGAAACTTGAAGCTATTGCAAAGAAATACAAGGAATCAGATACACAAGCTGAAACTGATAGCAAGCCCAAAGGTAAACATTGGATGATTTGTTATTCTAAAATGTTAATTCAAAATAGTCCTACTATAGTATTTTAATTTTTATTCTAGTGTAATTAAATCGTTCTATCGGTTCTTCTATTCTCACCAACATGGAATTAAAATCAGTTTTGCATGTTTTAAGCCATACTTGTGGTTAGAGTGTGGGAAGGTTTGGGATTAAATCCTGCTAGTGACCAATGGATTAGGTAGTAAATTGCTGTGCAAATAATGCTGCGATTCGCTGGTCTTGAGCTCATCATATGATGTATGTGTACATCCACCTATCTATAAAAAAAGATAGGTAGGTCTCAAGCAGTTTTAACTTCTAAGATATATTTATTCCAAATATTAGAGTCTGTTGTAGTTGGAAATGTACTCTTACACCTTAAGGTACGTTTTGTTTGGAGGGACAGGTGCGACTCGGTTGCCGAGTGGCAGTCGCGGGGTGGTAGACTGTTTTGCTTTGAGCGACAACTGCTTCCTGCCGCCGTAAATTGCATTACACAAGAGTCACTTGAATCCTAAATCTGTGTTATAAACGACCTCCTGAAAGAGTGAAAATTGCATGCTGCTGATTGTATTGTAAATGAAAAAATACAAATTACATTTTATACTCCATTAATAACTGAATATCTTCTTACCAAATTATTGTAATAATTGGCATTTTATATATTTACAAAAGACACACATGTCTTGTAAACCAATTTCATCAATAAAAATTGATACATAAAAAAATGTTTTGATACCCAAAGTGGAAATATAATTAGAAGTCTTAAAAGTCTACAATTAAATAATCTGCAAACATATTAAGATAACTTGTAATATCCCGTAATAACTAAAATAACGACACCTTATAGAAAATACCACCAGAAAAGTAACTGTCGCTACAATTGGTTGCACTGTAAAAAAATGATTCATTACTGTAGTAGGTTGCGTTACCATATGAATCCCCAAGGTATCCTGTTGTTGAAGTTAAACTACCATGGTTTTGAAGGAGGAGAATCCAAATTGAAGAGAGTTGAGCTTAATGTCATCGTAAACTTGAAAATTAAGCCATCTAAGCATTCGAAACTATGGTAGTTAGACTATGGTTAGTTACTATGGTAGTTAGACTATGGTTAGTTACTATGGTAGTTATACTATGGTTAGTTACTCATGGTAGTTATACTATGGTTAGTTACTATGGTAGTTATACTATGATTAGTTACTACTTGGTAGTTATACTATGGTTAGTTACTATGGTAGTTATACTATGATTAGTTACTACATGGTAATTATACTATGGTTAGTTACTATGGTAGTTATACTATGATTAGTTACTACATGGTAGTTATACTATGGTTAGTTACTATGGTAGTTCGAAACTACAACAACATGATCACTTGGCGATACTTAATATAATATAACCTATTGTAATTATAATAGTGATCTAGAGGCTATACCACAATGAATATTATTCAACAAGCACACTGTATATCAATAGTGTTATAAAAGGAATTCACAATTTTTATACAGTTCATGTACTCATACTAAATGAAGGCAAAACAAGTTATTTTTTCATCAGTTTGACATGTGGTTGATTTGCATCCATCAATCCTTTCAGGATTAATTAATTCAGCATGAGAACTATTTTAAAATACTGTTTTAAAGTTCCAGTAATGATTTAGAAAGATTATTTTGTGTATTATTATATCATCATACTTTATGCTCGGTTTCTCAATTTTTTTCATATGGTTTTAAAACTATTTCTATTATATTGTATAATCCTATCAATTTGGTTCAGGACCTGTTTTCCCCTATACATTTTATGGTCTTATCTGGTCTGTTAGTTGGATGTAAAAATTGTATCTTAGATTAATTGGTTTGATATTTCTTGCAGGTTTGAAGGCCCGAAGTCCATACCGGAATCGATTAAATGAACACAAACATAAACCATTTGAGGTTAGTATTTACTACGTTGCAATGTAATAAATTATTTAAATGAGGTTCTGTTGCAGTGCTATGAGAATGTTGTGCATTAAATTACGTTGCATTGATGTGGGTTGAAGTTTGAGTTTGATTGCCAATAAAATGGATTAAATTACCCTAATTACCCGTTGTAATAGTTTTACCATATTTAAACATACTGCACTGTAGATTTGTCATTGTTGTGGATCCGTTGAAAACAATGTTCCTATTTGTTTTTTAGTCATACAACATGTACTACCCTGAACAAAAAAGCCACGTTTACACGAGACCAATAGAACAGGCAGGTCACCTGCCTCTAATGTATTTTTTTAACTAATAAGTTACCTGAAGGCCCTGTCACACATGGTGAGTTTACTCGCCGCGACTAGAGTAGCGGTTCCTAATCGGCATGTGTAACATATTAAGTAGTGGCGACTAGCACTCGCCGGCAAGTCAAAATTCACTCACTAGGAAAGTCGGACATGTTCAACTTTTGGAGCGAGTAGTCGCCAGTAGCCGACCTTGAAATCGACGCTGTCCCTACTTGCCATATATCTTTAAGCTATTTCCCGTTTTTTTCTGCATGAAATAGCATTCCTCAAAAATGTATCTTTTTTCTATATCAGTGGTGATACCATATCCAACAACTTATTAAAATTTGGAACGGTTATCCTAATAAAAAAAAAAATATGATTAGGGTCCTTAATTTGCTAATTTTAAAATTGGTATTGATGAAGCACCCTCACGTCTCCCTATCCTCTCCCGAGCCCACTTAAGTTTATTCTCCTTTTTGATTTTTGCACAGATCACTTACGCAAATCTGCAACAGACGTCTTAAAGCATCCCTCTTTAATACCAAGACATTTTCCTCAGCACAGTAATTTCCTACACAACCAAACTGAAGTAGCCGCAACAACTCACCATGACTGGAAATGTTTTACAAGCCTGCGAGTACAAGTGGCGACTAAAAGTAGCGGCGACTAATAGCGGCGAGTAAACTCGCCATTTGTGACAGGGCCTTGAGGCAGGTAGTTTGCCTGCCAACTGGCCTCGTGCAATTGTGGCTTTGGAGATATATTTGGAGATATAATAAACAATTTATTATAAGTAATTAATTGTGATTGTTTTATGTTGATTGCATTATAACCAAGGAATAAAAAGCACGCAGTAAAATCAACAGTTCTTTTCCGTTCTTTCATTACCACTACTTTTTATGGTAATTCCGATATTATTAACTCTTAGCCTAGTCCATGAATATATCAATTATATAATGAAACTATTCTTGACTAACCTAACCAACCAAACTGGCTGATAATGAAAACAATTCTGGTAGTGAATAAACGATATGGCAATAAAAAAGTTGTAATAGTGAATTAACAGAAAAGGACCAAATCAACCCTTAGTATTTGATATAAGCACACTCAAACTTACTTAAAAACTGTTTTTAGTTTCAGTTTATGAATAATCTACTTGCCAATTATTGTAATTTGATCTGTTGTAATAAGATTATTTTCAATATTCCTGTCTAAATCATTGTTTCAACAATTTCAGAGACATGACTTGTCCGTGACCACAGCTCTGGGAAATGGAGGCCGAGTTTTTGTGCAATCACTCGCCGTAAGTAATCATAAAATAACTACAATTAAGTATTTTTTATTGTATATTACATTTTATAAGCCGTTATTATGGTTCGGGCACCATACAATTTTTTTTTAATTCACTACTTCGCTAATATATTTATTGCATTCTGCTTAACCAAAAGTTTGAACAAGTTTAAATACCTCAGTATGAGTCAAATCATGGATTTTAAAATATTAAAAATGTTGGTACAATTTTAAAATCAAACTAGTGCAATATATTTGGTATTGCTCACCACCATAGTTAAGAATTAGTTAAGAATGGTTTTTGAGAAAAACTAAACATGATTTTATCATTAATATTTCTATTTCATCGTATTCCATTTAGTCTACAAAGATATTCTTTATTCTCAATGCATTTCCTGGCCTAACCTAAATTTAAGAGCAATTATATACTAAGGATTGTATTTAAATATCTCCTTTGAGTATCTAGATTTCATTTTAAATTATTATCTGTATGAAATTCTAATTTTTGTCATCGTCCACAGCAAATTGAAATTTAAGCTGCTAACAATTGATTTTGGGGTGTCCCTTCAATGTGCTTATTCAATTAGGAAAATGAAGTAGGCGACCTTAAAAAAATAAATTTATGAATAATTATGTAGTTACACAGTAAAGAAATAAGCTGACCATTTTCAAACAACCTGTAACATTTTGATAGTATCCTGCAAGTGCAACGTTTGGTCTGCCCTATCTTAAAATATGTTGGTTTTCAATCTCACCTTATAGTTGATATTTAATCCTAGTAATGGTGATATGACATATCTGTGTGTACTGGGTTAAGACTTGCACTTAAATCCTGAGGAAACTAAGACTTGATTTAATAAATAGCCAAACATAGTCTTTTAACTATGTAAAGTTTTTTTTTTTTGTGATAGAAGTTTAACAATAATGAGACAGCATTTTTTTAGTTTGTTCCTTCAAAATCCTCATTGAAATTAACTCAACTTAACTTTTTGATTATTCCTAAAGACAAAAAAAACATTTATCTTTTCACATTCCAATTTTAGAAAATAGCTTGTTATTTTGAAAAAAGGTTGTGATCAAACCATAGTTTTAACAAATAAAATCATCAGTTCATTTACAAATTCAATTCAATAATTCCATATTTGAATTGAATAAATCAACAGTAGTCACCTTTTTTTAGTAAGTTTACTAGAGATATATAACACAGGCCTCTGGTAACTGAAGTAACTTTGTTTGTAATTTGTAAGAGTAAATAGTTCTTCGTATCTACCTTATTCTCTTCATTTCTTTACTTTTGAACAGCTTAATAATTGAGCAATTATTTTAATACAAATTATTTTTTTATTGTGCAACAATACAAATTGCAACTACCGACACTTTACTTTATTGTACTTTATTTCATTCATTTGTATCCCTGGATATTTTTAACTATGACATAAAAAAGAAGGGAAAAACACTTTGTTTATTTGTTATCCAAGTTAAATTTATGTTAGAATATTTAGTATTTTTATGAAATTATTTAATTTCCCATGTTTCCGCTACTAAACAAACTGTTGTTTTTGTTGTTGCGACACATAATGTAGAATTACACAGAAATTACAACTGCCCCAACTATGTCACTGTGTTTACTTAACTCCATTTACTGTATGTGTTTGTCTGATTTGATTAAGCTAGGCTATTCAAAATTGTCTTTTGTATTTTATTGTTTAGAGAAAAAATAGGTTACACTCTTTGATATGTAATTTTGTTGATATTGCTAAAGGCTGATTTAACTGGGATAACTTTTTAAATACTGAACAGAGACTGAATGGGCCTGGAAAAAACCTCTTTCAAGTGTTGGTCAGAAATTGGCTTAGAAAAAGTTCATAAAATATTAAACATCATAAAGAAATTATAAATTTAATCGAGGATCAATCTGAGGATTGTTTTCTAGTCCCAAATAGATATTAAGTGAAAGTTGATCAAATTTCTGTCACCAATAAACATTCAATTACAAATTAGATATTATCATTGCAAAACCAGTACCATACTACTGTATCATACCAATATTACAGAGGTACTATAATTGGCCAGAGTATTTTAATTATTAGCATCTTTATGTCTCTATTTAATTTACTGTTATTTAATAACATAGATGGCATTAACAGCCATAGTTAACAAAATCCATAAACACTAAATTATTTAATAACACGGATGGCTGTTAATAATACCAACAACTTTGCATTAATTTATGATCAAAAGAGCAATTTAGTTCTCATGTTCAGTATTTTGTTATACTAGGCTCTAGCCTAAGATTATTTTTCATATTACTTCAAGCTAGGCCTAGAGGTTGCGGCATTATCACTTAGATCAAATCTATTGTTGATTGGAGTATGATCAGGGAGCGAGCTGGTCTAGTGTTAGGGTTTGGAGCCAAAGGTCCTTGGTTTAAAGCCCGCCAATCACCAATGGATTTTATGTATTTAATAATGCCGCGACCCTCTAGAACTGCCTGAAGTAATGTGTAAAACCGTTCCGGGCTAGAACCTAGCATCCTAGGATGTGAAGATGGGAGAAAAAAAAAATTGCATTTGGAGGGATTTGAACCAGGGACCTCAGGGACTGAAGTCCCACACTCTACCACTAGACCAGCTCACTCCCCATGTTCTGCATTCCCTATGCTAGATACATATGCTGATATTCATGTTTTATATCCTTATTTGTCACAGAAATCATCAAATAGCCTTTTAGCGAATTTCCTATATAGGGAATAAGCTATTACCGTAGTACTCATGGTAAGACCTGGACCCGGGACCGATTTTTTGTTTTGTTTTGAGGTCCCTAGAGGCCAAAAATAGCATCCGTTCAAATTCATATATATATATATTTATATTTATATATATATATATATATATGTGTCCGTTAGCGCGATAACTCGAGCAAAAATGATCCGATTTTGATGAAATTTGGTACAAACGTGTAAACCTATGTTTATTCGAACGAGTTCGCGAACCAGCATGATCGGACCATAGGAACAGGGGTTTATGGGGGCTTTTATGGGGTAAAAATGGGTTTTTCCCATTTTTGACCCAAAAAACTTGAATTTTTGAAATTTCTTTCCAAACTATTTTGTAGAGCTTAAAAAAACAAATAATTTAGTATATTAAAGCGTTTTAATGCGCCTAATAGTTACGGAGAAAATTCAAAAAAATTGTAAATTTAAAATTCCCATGTTATTCTTATGGAGGATAAGTAAACTGTTGTAGTTTGCTTATTTATTAACACATTTTTGCCCAAATTTGGAAAATGTTTTTATTTCTTACTAACTATTAACATTTTACATAAAAAAAACACTTTAACCCTCCCTGTTGCAGCAAACCTGAGTATGTGTTAAACTGATTTGATTTAAATAGGGAATAAATGTGATATTTTTAAGGAGACATTTTAGTGTAAATCCAATCAGGCAAATGGAAATTCGCTTAGTCTGCAGGTTTGCTGCGGCGGGGGTATTTTAAATGTTCCTGCATTATACCATTACATAAGAACTTAATTGTTAAAACCCTATATAGCTCTTAATTATTTCAGTTTCTCTCATTTGGTCCATATTGAGTCAAATTTATGAAGTACCGGTTTGTGCATTACCATCCTAAGACAACATTTTTAATAAGACAACATAAAAAAAAAAAATTATACCTTTGGCAATAGCCATTTAAGCTAAATTCATTGGGTTTGCTGGCAGTTTTTAACCTCTGAAGCCAAATGTTTTTGTTTTGGTAGTTATTTACGATTGTCTAATCTCTATGATATATTTTTTAAATCATCCCATGCCACATGATTTTATTTAAGTAATATAGGCTATGATATGTAAAAATAAGTGTGTTTTGCGCCAAACACTGTGTAATACTCTTAGTATCTTCATTTTGTGATTGCTTTCAGGCGGTCGTTCCAGAGCCAGTGGCTAATTTCCCAAAAGATAACATGCTTTTGGATGCAATTCAGGATAAAGACTTCATCGCCAGTTTTATGGACTTATCTTCCGACGAGGCAGAACAGGTTTTCTTGAATTTCATGTAAGTACGATTCCCTGTTATCTATAAAATTGCTTTGGAAAATAATAGATCAAAATAAATAATTATTATTCTTCAATCAGTTTGTACAATATTGTACATGATTTCCTCAATATCACCGTGAAATCACCAAAATCCTCTGAGTTACAGCAAAAACAAGAACATCGTCTGCGGTCACGGTGAAATCAAGAATGTCTGTGGTCATGGCTTAATCGTGAATATTATTTTATATAGTCATTGAAAAATTGTGAAAGTCTTCCACAGTTGCATAGATATAGTTATCATCTGCCGACGTCACAGAAAAAAATCAAGAACTTATTCTGCAAATCGTGAATGTCTTGTTCATTCAACTTGTTCTTGTTGTTATTTGTGTACACAATAACAACATTGTATTTCACAATCGTGGGGTAATTGTCAACTTTGTGTGTGTATCTTCCCAGATGCTTTCTGCGATTGCAAAAATAAAACCTCAGCTTGGCCCTACCCAAACGTGGCCCAACCAAAACAAATATTTCAGGGACTCCAAGACCCCCTGTTAGGTACTTTTTTATTTGAGGAAAGAATCAGATTCCAGATCCTAACAAAATTTAAATTTGGTTTTTACTGACTAATGGGAAAACACCTGTGTAGTTTTGATAATAATTGATCTAAAATGATTTTTTCATCCTTGCACAATCATTACTATATTTGTGATGTTTCAGAGAGCTGGAAAACAAGAAGCTAGAGAGTGAAGGTCAAGTGGTGCCCCAGGATGTGCTGGTTCCTCAGGTCTCCGTCATGTCTCCTCGGTCCTCTCTCACTCCAGCACATTCACCCAACAACCTAGACTTCTACGACTCAAGCTACGAGACAGGGTCGCCCGGCAGTACAGTTGTGACATCCCCTGGCAGTCCTGGACAACCTCGCAGCTCTGTCAGCTCAGAGTCTGATCAGGTGCGCTGGGTATAGCTTCCTTAACAATGTGAAACAATTAAAAGCCAGGAACAAAATCAAAGGTTGCTTAAGAGTCTTCATCACCCTCGGTGTAGTTGCGTTTTGGGAAAGGCTGTGTTGACAGGCAGGTAGTACGGAATCATTATGCCCACCATTCTGGAAACATCATAAACACACGACTGCTAAAGACAAAACTCCGCACCTACGCGCAGCGGCGATCTTCTCTACCTTTAGACATTGAGCAGAACATATTATCAATCTATTATCACTGGCATATTAGCTCTTCCTATTCAGATTATTTTTTGTCTTTGAGAGTCAACCAGAGCGATTCAGCCTTACAAAACAATTATGGACTTGCATGTTTATAATATCAGTAGCTTTTATTTATATTACTGATTTGTTGTTACATGTTTGAATTGCTATAATATTGTTAAAATAAAAATAATAATTATTTAATTGTCATTACTAGGCCAATAGGGTTTTACCGCAAAAACGGGACTAATAATGGTTCAATGGTTAATATACATTTTAGGGTTCGCACCATATTTGTGAATTTCTTTTTTTCATTCTACTCAAAATTTAACGCTGATTCCGAAAATGACGATCTTTTTCCGCAGAAAACGACCATAAACCCAAAAAACTATTAAAACTACCAAAAACCTTTTTTTCCAAAACAGGTCATGTGGGTATTCAAATTAACACATTGAGCGCTGAAAACCTTTAAACAGGCGTTCGCCAATGGCGGCGAGGCCCGGGCGGAGCCCCGACTGAATCAGCGATCGCTATTGGCATTGAAATATCTCAGTAAGACGAATCACAAAAGAGCAGCCAGTGGTGATTGTTCTGCGTTACCCCGATAGTGGATGTAGTTCACTGAAACACCCAAAGGTAGTAGCACTGCCTGTATCAATAACCAGAGTCTTTGTAATATAGCTCGAATAGGGAAAATCTCCGAAAAAGGGACAAAAGCATTGCCAGACGGGATTTTAGGGGCAATTTTAGTACCAACCTACACCAGAATAAAGCTCGCATTCTAAGCTACAGGCTGGTAACGATTACAACGTTCCCCGATAATGGCGTAGCTCACATTGAAACAAGGTTGTTGCTATGCTAACATGACGGGTGCGCCCGCCACTCGCGCTCAATGTGTTAAATGGAATAACAAGTATATTATCACGAATATGCAAGAATGTGTTTGATCCGATGTCATATACGGGAGATAAAAGCAAAAATGTAACAACTTACCATCAGTAATAACCCCAACTCACTTGGGGCCCAGTGGGAGTTTGGGGTTTTGGGTGGGGGTGACATAAAAAGTGGGTAATCATCGGGAGAAAAGGGTAATTTGTTGGATATTTTAGGCAATTAAGGTTTGATGGGTAATAATAGGTAATTAGACATTAGGAATAGGAACTTTCTATTAATCTAGGCTTTCTATTAATCTATTAATATAGGCATGAGGGGAGGGTAGGTCAGGGTTTATGCGGATATGTGGCTATAATACGTGTTTTGGAGTTAGGTTAGATTGGGAAGGTAAAGAGTAGTTGTCCGGGTTGTTAATTGTGTTGTGTTACATCCATATTTTTATTAAACTAGGTATTGGAGTAGTTGGTTAAACAACAAGCATACGATTTAGAAAATGCTTGCATTTTCAAAATTGTCTCGTTTAGTACCAGGTAATAGTGGGATAAACAGGTGAGTTTTTGCCGTTTTCGGGTTATTTGAAGAGTACCTATTCAAAATTGTGCCGCACACTTTTGTCAAAATCTCGCTTAAATGCTGGATCAAAATAGTTTTTGCCTATTCGTAATCTGCTCTATATTCCGGTTAATTTGAGTACATGAAAAATTTTGGTAAAATCAGTTTCTTTTTTGTTTTGGGGCCTATGTTCGTTTTCCGCAGAAAAAGAATGTCATTTTCAGAATCAGCGTTGAATTTAGAGTAGAAGAAAATAAGAAATTCAAAAATCGAGTGCAAACCCTAAAATTAGCCAAATTTGTTACAATTCATTTGTTGATCTTGGCCACACATTTTATTTCATCTTTAAATAATGTAATTTTAAAATGACATGTTCTATTAGTCTGAAATTGATAAAGGCTTTTAATTAGTTAATTTGTTAATTACATATATTATTTAATCCATTTCATTAAAGAGCATTTCACCTTAAACAACATACACAATATGTGCCAATCAATGAATATCAATACAGAAAGAAGCTGATTAGGTGTCGGTGGGGGAGGGGGGGTGTCTGGTAAATGACAAGACGTAAACAACGGCTGGACATTTTGCAAACGGCTAGTAGTATACAACTGTCGCGCGGTTTTAAGCTAATAGATGGTTCATTATTTAGCTGCTTATTGACCAGCCATGGTAATGAGCAAATTCTTTGATCTTTGTTTTATTATTTACTAAAAGAGTTGCTGCACCATTCTACTATCTTACATTGTTTAAAACTATTTTCAAATTGTTTGTATAGCTTTGTACAAATGTTAATTTTTGCTTTTTTGGCCCTAAAAAAGACATATTTTTGATAAAAAATATATCTATTTGAGATACGCTAAAATTTTTACATGCTTTGACTAGAAGAAAACACTTTTTCCGAATTCAGTCACGTCAAATAAGATCGAAAGCAGCTTAACAAAAGGACATGTTTTGCCCTTTTTTAGAGGGGTTTTGAAGACTCTTATCCAAACAGTGATATTTCATACTCATAATCACTAGTTAAGACGTATTGGGACAACATAATTTTTTCACAGGTGTAAGATCCCTGACCCTTATCAATGTGGAAAACTGTGAATTTTATTTTAAAGTTTGCCTTGGGACCCTAATTAATTTGTATCTTTGTAGCATTTACTTTGTATACTGTACTTTGTAGCATTGTCTTTTATTTTTTTACATTTTTTAAATATTTTATTTCAACTAATCTGTGCAACAGGTACGTTTACATAGTTTTCCCAAATAAGATGAAAGAGTATTAATGAAATACTTAAAATGAAGAACCAAATGTATTTGTACACTTAATTTCAGTAAATTTCATAAAAATGATTGCAGGAACTTGACCCTGCAATGGAGACAGTCCGTGCTCAGCTACCAACACAACAGACCAACATTGTCATCATTCCTGCCACAGTGGTGACCAAATCCGAGCCCAAGATGAGACCTCTTGGAGAAGTTGTGAACTACATTTCTACTTCTGCGTCTCAACGGCTGTACGATCTCTCCAAGTCAACCAGCTTCTGTGTGAAACACTTCACGATTCAGTTGGTGCGAGTTGTCATGACCACCAAAGCTGAGAATGCGCCTGATAGGATTGCAGGATTCTGCAAGTATGGCTTTTATATTTAACGTTTACATAATAATTTCTATATCATAGAAATAGAAAGTTGAAATAGCAGTTGAAATATTTTGCATGATAATGCATACACAAGTAAACAAGTCTTGTTCAATAAACATGGTTTAGGTGGGTTTTAGAAACTAAAACCCACTGTCACTGTCCGTCCATGTCACTGTGATGTTCTATTATGAATGTTAATTTGTAATGGGGCCTATGTACCCATGCGAATCCTATCATACCATTTGAGTTTTCACCCAAACAGTATGCAATCATTAGCTTAAGTTCTTTGCGATTTTAGGTTCATACTTAAAGGAATGTTTTTTACTGTACACCTTTTGAGTAGTACACTAGACTCCCTCTTATCCGGACTTCTCGGGACCGAGGCCAGTCCGGATAACGGGTTTTCCTGTTAAATATAATTTATATTTTATAAATTACCAGAAGACCGATCATTGCTCAAGGTGTTTGATTTGTTAAAGAGGTTAAAAAAATAAGTCCTTTAAGCCAACAACTATTTTCAGTTTTGTTACGATTAATTAAGTTGTAAAGTCAATTCCTTTTCGGTAGACATACGCTCATTCTTAGTTTACCTAACAAACTTTTTCATGTGAACAAGCAATCTATATTGAAAATTTCTACTGTAAACTTCAATATAAAAATTCATGATACATACCATCTGTTGACCGTTATTGCGTAAGTCACTGGGATCGCAGAACTTTGCAACTAATTACGGAATCGTGGAACAACCCATCAGTTCCGGCGGCGCATTGTCGAAAACTACGTTCAATATTAGTGTACAATATTTTGCGTTAAAAGACTTTACGTTTTTGAACAGACGTAATGATCCCTTTGGTTAGTAATACATCAAACACCCCAAATGGATTATATAAATCAATGCTCAATAGCATTCATAGGAATGGCCTTTTCCTTTATACTGTACTGTAGATGATTTGTTACAAGCGTATGTTACAAATCATTTGTCACATTTTTGTAAAACTGCCACAGCTACTTGACAGTCCATATGACTAATGGATACAAATATCAAAATTTCATTTTAAGTTATTAACGAAAAATGAATTTTCCCACAACAGAGCCTATCATGGATAATGTTTTTAGCCTAAAACTAGTATCTAACAATTTGGAGGAAATCATAGGAGTCGTTTTGAAATCATTGTGCGCAAACTTTACTCATATTATAGTATAGATATAGGGAACGCAATGATTGCAAAAACGCACATGGCAAACAAACACCTGATCAATAAAGGTTGATGAAATGTTAACATACGTAGATTGTGATGGTGTAACTATTATTTAATGTATTTAAGTGAGGGACAATAAAGTAATATTTGTGGTTCACTTTGGCATTTAAACATTTTATCTGTCCAAGATAACTAACTATATGTTAGTGGTAAATGTGATTGAGTTTTATTGCTTTAATCAAACATTCTGCTGATTTATTTAAATTATAAATTTATTTTAGTTTTTAATACTGAGAAAATATAAATCCATTGGTCAAAATTAAACAATATAGTTATGCTCACTATCTATTTTCTTTGTTAAGTAGCTTCATTAAAGAAAATAGGATTCAGATCAATCTAAGAGAATAGTAGCCTATGTACCCATGCGAATCCTATCATACCATTTGAGTTTTCACCCAAACAGTATGCAATCATTAGCTTAAGTTCTATGCGATTTTAGGTTCATACTTGAAAGAATGTTTTTTACTGTCTGTACACCTTTTGAGTAGTACAGTAGACTCCCTCTTATCCGGACTTCTCGGGACCGAGGCCAGTCCGGATAACGGGTTTTCCTGTTAAACCGATGTCTCCAAAAACTCGTTTTAATGGACCGTTTAAATGCATACTGTATACATCATTTGATTTAAATTTAGGAGAGCATCGTATTTAGAGACATGATCACTGGTCTCAATTCTTTCCCACGAGAACAGTCGTTTCAGTACCGCCCACTTCCTGCTGATCTAAGACTTCCTACGATACAAAAGCACTTGCTGCTGGTCCGGATAAACCGATGTGCTGATAAAAATTGTCCGGTTAAAGAGATGTTATTTCCGCCGAGTGTAGTCCGGTTAAACCGATGTCCGGTTAAAAGGTGTCCGGATAAGAGGGAGTCTATTGTATATTACGTTACTAGTTCTGAAAACAGGTACATTTTGGACGAGTGATGTACGATATTTCTCGCCATACTACTAAACTAGGTTTGTAGTAAACTAATCTAACAATAGCCTAATTGCAGGCCACCAACCTCTTTAAAAAAATTTGACTAAGCAGGCGCTAAACAGCTGTTTTCCAGAGTAATTTCTTGCGTGAAAAGTCTCTTAAAACGATGAAGTGCGTAGAGATGTAAGTTATTGTTGTTTCCCAGCAACACAACAGCAATGTTTTTCGCCCGCCAATAACAGGTTGCGGCATCCTGTTATTTCAGCAAAGTTGCCGAGAGTTTGTTGCCGAGAATTCATTGTCTACGGCTGTTGCGTCCCAGCAATCGTTTTGAATGTGTTGGACGTTATAAAATACTGTCTTGTTTTTTATTTCGAATGTATAGAATCAAATTGATTTTAAATGTAGTTAAAGTTAAAGCATTTAATGAAGTATCTATAGATAAATTAGATATTTGCTAAACTTATTTTTAGTAGGTATTTTAGCAATTAAAATGATAGAATATTTTCCTAATTTCTAACATAATAATAATAATTGGAAAAAGCTATAATTTAAATAAAAATAATGACTTTTTCATTTCTTTAAGCATTATCTACCGTTTTGAAACTTACGTTATTCATAGTTTAACATTAAACTATGATTTCACTCCTCAATAACTGAATGTTTGTAGGTTACTAAAATAAAACACAACACTTTAAGAATTTTTTATGTTTAAAATCAAAACAAGTCATAAGTGTACTGCTGCAATACATTGGTCATTATTTTACAAAAATAATGGAGAAATTTAGTACCTGAGAATCAGCGGAGAACTAATGTGAAAACGCATAAAATAACTCAGATTTGATAGCAAACAATACGTAAACTTCCTGTAAGACTTTTGACCTACGTACCATTCCCACACTCCATGGCGCAACATTACACAGCGCCTGTTTAGTTTATTGCTATTTGGCAATTTACCCGTAACATAACATAACATGTGTAAGTTGCGGCAACGAGTTTAATAATTCGGCTATTTCAAGTCCCACTCCCACACGGCAACTAACTATCGTGTCTGATTGTTGACGCTTTCGTCAAAACTATTATAGTTGTTCAAAAACGGCGTTCTGTTCTGCGGATCTGCCGTGGCATTGTCATAATGAAACTCGAAAGCGTTATTTTAATAACAGGGAGATCGCCGCAACAGGATGACCTGACAACAGTTATCGCGCGGCAACACTGTTATTCATCCTTTATGTTATATAACGTGCATCTCTAGTAGTGCGGCAAAAAATGTTTAACCTACAAAGATTTGTATTGTATAGATTTGTATAGGCTACATCTATACATTCTCTCATGGCTTAATAATTTTACTGTGCAGTTTATCATTCATACATTATCAAACATACCACCTGCTACCATTTATCCTTTCATTTTGATTTCTAATCAAACTTTGAGTACGTATGTATACAGTTTGGATGAAAAGTCCCGGAATGGTGTAATATATTTTTTACCAATATAGATAAAGATAATGTAATGAGACTTGGTATATATACAAAAAGCCATAAGTGTCTACTCTTTTAAGCCATTATCACTTTAAAAGTATCTTTTATCCCTTAAGGGGGAAGGCCCATGAGGAGTCAGACAAAATTCTTAAATAACAGCATAGGTCGAGTTTGGTATCAAATCGAAGGTCTCTGTTAGTTTACAATGCCACAAATCCGAACTAAAACGGACAATGGAGTAAAAAATGACAGCTTTTTAAAGATCCCTTGGATTTGCAATGCTAATTATACTGTGGGGCTTCTTCTAGAAGTAGGAAGAAAATCATAAATGTAAGCATTGGTCAATATGCACATCAGATTAAAGGTTTTTTAGTAGAATAAAATGACACAAATTTGAGCTCAAAATAACAGCAGGGTAAAAAATGGCAGCCGTTCAAAGATTAAAAGTTGCAGATTCAAGAAATATTTGAACGGCTGCCATTTTTGACTTGGTTGTCCGTTTGAGTTCGGGTTTGCAGCAATGTGTTTTACTAAATAAGGCATTTAATTTGATACCAAACTCTACCTATGCTGCTAGACCTATTTAAGAATTTTGTCTGACTCCTTGTGGGCTATCCCCCTTAAGAGGTAAAAAAGTTATAATAGCTTGAAAGGGTGAATGAATGAATGAATGAATGAATGAAATAGACATTTAAATGGCTATTTTTGATATACCAAGTCTCATTACTTAATCTATATTGGTATAATAGTATATTGTGTTAGTAGTCCTGGAAATAAGTGTTTACCGGACGAGTGTGTGCGAGAAGAAGTCGACTATGGGATTAACATACGAGTTCGGTAAGCACATTTTGGACGAGTGATGTACCATATTTTACGTCATACTGCTAAATCGGTACAAATCCTTAGATATTACCACCAAATTAAGGACTAACAATCACTTGTCATAACCTCTGAGAGAGGTTATGTTTTTGTTTATAACCTAACCAGTAACCACTAATCACAAAATAAAATACAGCATCAGCTGGTTGGTGTCCGGTAAAACTCATTACAATACAGTAGTATGTAATGAAACCCCAATTGATTAAGCTGGCGGCAAACAGCTGTTTTCTGGACTAAATCCTTGTGTGGGATGTTCGACAAAATAGTGTAGTGTGGCTTAAAATATATTACACTGTTCCTGGGCATTTCAACTACACTGTAAGAGTGTACTTACTTGTAAATTATAACCCTCATAATCATTTACCATTAATTTCTCACTAGTAATCAAGAAGGCATTTAAGATTACCAAGATATTTTTCTAGGAGCCTGATGAGTACGATGAAGACCGAGATTCTCAACAAGCCTCATGAAGGAGACATTTGGCAGTTGTCTATCTACGCTCACATCCAGTTTCTCACAGCTCCAGACCGTATGCATGAGTACCGCTCGGCACTCAAGACTTGTGATGAGCGAGGACATCCATTGTTGTACATTGCTGCTGTCAAGCGCCACGAGAGACCTTTGATTGCTCGCTATATTGCTGAGAGCATGGCTCAAGTTGGATATAACCCATCAGAAGTAAGTAAAAATGGAAATTGTGATTAATTCTTTGACATTTTATTAGAACAGTGTTCTGGAACCTCTATAGTTCTCTCACTATTAATGTTTTTAGTGCAATCTAATAATAATTTAATTCTGTTTTACACTGTCAGGGTTAAAGGTCTAACACTTATAACAATTTATTCATACTAGAGGTCGTCCAGTGGTCGAAAACTCAACCAAAATATGTAATGTACAAGATTCTCTATTTTCACCCTAAGCTGTAAATAAAACATGTGATTGGAATTTCTTCCATTTTTTTTCTGTTTATATTTTGTTGTTATTTTGTCACAAGCATGGAAAACCATAAGGACCATGTTAATTTTTAAAAATTTCAAATTAATTTGTTGTACTTATTTTTGAGCCTATTTTAATTTATAAAGAGATTCTGCACATCTACAGGAAAATAGCTTTCTAACAGTATGCGAAGATTTTCTCTGTGATGCACAGGAGCTGAGAAAAAAGGTTTTAAAGAAACATGCTTGCCTATTATATAGATAAGAGATTAAACAATTCAAAATTTTACCATTAGTAATTTTCATTATTATGACATATGAACAAAAGAAATCTTAGATTGAATCCAAAATAATAAATTATAAGAATATGTTTTATCTTGTTGCTGGACAGTTATTAGTCATCGTCAAAATATAAGTTTTATCAATTTATCCATTTACAGAAAATAACGATATGTGGTGGTTAGTTTTGATAGATTTGATTAGGTTAGTATATTTTCATTATCAACTTTGATGGTTTAACAATATTTTCTTATAGCAGAGGATGTTTTCTACTTGAATTCATGTTAGTGTAGGTTCGTTATCCTTTTTTAATATACCAATAGGTTTTAATCTGCAAGTTTTCTAAAATGCTGACCTGGAAATTTTGAACCAACAAAACCTTGAAATGTCCAAGAGTTTACTTTGCATGGCTTGCTGGACACCCTGGTCTCTGTTCATCAATATTTCTCAAGTTAAAATATAGGTTACATGGTGTTGACAAAACATTAATTTTAACACTTTTCAATTTTGTATTGCCGTTTGAAAAGCAATATTACTGTTGCACAGCAGTGTTTCCCAATCTGTGATTTTGTTGGACTCCACAATCTTCAGTGGGAAATATTGTGTCAATTAAGCATGTAGGGGGGGGGGTTTAGGGAAAGCCTCCCAACAACACTGAGAGTCACACCACTAGATATGGGGGCCGAACCGGCAGTTTTTGGGAAGAGGGGGTGTCCAGGGGTCTTCCCCAGGAAAATTCTGTGTAAAACATTTAGATAGTGTGATCATAATAATACTGATTTAGTCTGGCGAGGCGCGGGATTGGTAGAAGACTGCTGGACTAAATCAATGTTATTATGATACCGCTATCTAAATGTTTGTGTATTCGTACCATTTTAATGTTTTTTATGTTCATGTCGTCCTTGTTTTAATTGTGTCTCTGACAAGTTGCAAGCTTTGAAAATGTTTTTGCAACATGTAAGCTGATGAGCAATATTAATCGTTGGACTATTTGACGGAGGTATGTAAAACCTATTATTGTCTTAATTAATGTTCCTGAATTATGATTACAGCCAATGGACGATGCTGGTAACACCATCCTCCACCTTGTGGCTGAGCAGGGAGATTCCCACATGCATGTGCTGAGTGAACTGTTGATGGCCGTGGGTCCCAACAACAAGCCTTTGCTGAATGTCATGATGCCCAACTCTGTAGGTCAGACCCCCATGCATGCAGCCGCTCGCTCCCCCTACACTCAAGTCACCACTCTACTGCAGCTGCTCAAGATGGGTGCCCAACCCTTGGACTTGGTTAGTAATTCCAGGATAAAATAATTTATGTCTTCCTCCAAACATACAAGAGGAAATTATTCATAAATGTTGTTATTGCACAGTCAAATTTACAAATTATATATTTAAATTAAAACATTTTGGTTGCCATTGCTACTTATGTGGAAAAGTAGGCCCGGAGTGCAGTAAATCGTCGATTATCCAAAACAATTGGCGCAGATAGGTTTTCGGATAATAAATTTTTCAGATGACAGTGAACTTGGAGATGCTCTGTGCAAAATATGTAAGGTTACAATTACAAATAGTGATGAAGGACTAAATTGTGATGGTTTTTGTAATCTATGGTATCACCCAGCCTGTGTGAATGTTGACGAAAGAAAATACGAGATAATTAACGAAGCAGCCGACATTGTGAAATGGTACTGCAGCACTTGTGCTACAAACATAGACAAGTTAGTTAGTAGTTCGGAGGTTGAAGACGAAATCACCAAACTCAGGCGTGTAGTTTATAATTTAGTTACACCTTTGTAAAAGGCATAGCTACTGAAAATCTGGCCATTAGTTCAAGACTTGATGAAATAACCAATATAAATGTCAGACTGGAAAATTAGGTTAGACAAGTGACATGTGGGCGTAAGCCTAGAGTTAAGGATTCATTGGATGTGTCTACAACTGCTAGTGACATAAATAAAGAAGTAATCCATGACAATTTGACTATTCCGAAGTGACATAAGACAAGGTAAAGACATATGTGTTGGATTCTGACGTTCAAGACTGTGAGATACAGTAGTGCAATTGAAAACTAAATACAGTTCCTACAAATCGTTCAAAATAGGTGTTCATCATGATGATTGGTCAAAACTTATTAACCTGGAATTTTGGCCAAGTGGGACCCTGATTCGTGAGTACGTCCCTCTCAAACCAAGGTATGTACATAAACCTAAGGGTTATTTTATCTCAGACACTAAAAAACCAATCATAAATGAGTCAATAATGCATAACGAAGACCCTAATGAAGTTATTTCCCCAAATAAAATATATAGGCCTAATGGCGAAGATCTACGAACTCTATTTTTGAATATAGAAGGACTTTTAGACAAAAGCAATATTCTTAGCCACTTTGCTCTAGAAAATTATATCAATGTGATAGCTATTAGCGAACATTGGAAAAGTCTAGATGAAATAAAACTTCACACAGTTGATGGTTATAAAATGGCCTCTGCTTTTGGGAGAAGTAATCACATAAAAGGTGGTGTGGCAATCTACCTTCGTGACAATATGGACTACACACCCCTCGATGTAGCCTGGTTGTGTGATGAAATAAATTTTGAAGTAACCGCGCCGCGGTCTCTTTCACACTTTGCAGTTCAAAGATTGTCATTGTTAGTATTTATAGATCACCCCTAGGCGACCCAAATATTTTTCTGGAAAAACTCTAACAATTTTTGTACTTGCTATCTAAGTTTAAAAATAGAAACATTCATTGGAGGTGACTACAATGCTCATTTTGACATTACAGCAAATCCTACTAAGCCTACATTAATCAAATGTTTACTGAAGCAGTTTAATTGCCACTTTGCATACAACAAACCGACTAGATATGATGCCTGTCTGGATAATGTTGTAATTTACTGGAAGCGGGAGGGTTACGATGTTAAAATAGTTAATCTTGATATCTCGGATCACTCGGGTATCTTACTCTCTTGTCATGTTGATGGTAATTCACATGTGATACCGAAGCCTGAAGCTTTAACATTTAGGAACATCAATCAACATAACCTACATAAGCTGAAAATGTTACTTGACTCAACATCATGGGATGAAATTCTTTACAATCCAATTAGGCCTAGTGCTTAAGAAATATTCAATGATTTTAATCAAAAGTTACTCTCTAGTTTCAACACTTGTTGGAGGAGCTAGAGGTTGTCCGTAAGATGCTCCAGGGTCCAATGTTTAATGGTTGTTGTTGTTGTAGGATCAGTGTGATATGACTCCACTGCACTACTACATACAGGGAATGTCCAGTAGAGGAGGTTGTCACTTGGAGGAGCTAGAGGTTGTCCGTAAGATGCTCCAGGCTCCAATGTGCCTCAATAAGAAATCCATGCAGATCGTTGAGCGGCTTTTGGCTGATGGTTCAGTCCCAGCCGATGTTGTCAATGTCATTGTGGAAGAAGTCAACAGAAATTGCTCCAAGGTAATACTAATAATAATAATGGTGTTTGTATACCTGCTTTTGAGTGGTTCAGAGATCCTTTTGTACTACAGTACTACATATGAACCATGTATCAAAGTAAATGCCTAAAAAACAACTACACATGACATATATTAGTTAACCAAGTATCATCATCATCTTTGTACATTTTGCTCATCTTTCGATCATGCAATATTCACAGATGCGTTCTGCACCGCAATAATATTGCCAAAGTGAAAGCTTGACATGAGTTTGGTTTTCTGACTTGGTGCATCTGACTCAAGCTTTTAGACTAGGCATGGCTCAGCTTGAACATTGAGCAGCTCGCATACCTCTAAAATAGATAAAAATATGTCGTGTTTAAGAAAATATTTTGGATTTTGGTAAAAATAAAATCAGGCAAATAGAAATTCACTTAGTCTGCTGGTTTTTGCGGTGGGTGTATTTGTTAATATTTTCCTGTATATAAAGTTAAATTTATATAATAATAATAATAGATTTTAAAAATTACCTATTCCTGTGAATCTCACAGTAAGACCTGGACCCAAGACTGATTTACTTGTTGGTTTGTTTTCCCCAGAGCACAAAAAACTATCCATTCAAATTCATATCCATGGAAAATCGCTGTGGCAATATAAATTTGCTAAGTCTGCAGGTTTGTTGTGGTATTTTGTGTTTGTACTTTTTCTAATCAAAGTGTTGTATGTTTGGTTCTAGGACCTGAGACCCAAGAAGATAGACAGGCGTTAGTGGATGTCATGTGTTGAGTGTTTCACACCCTAGTAAAGTTACATGGAACAAGCTGTGGGAGGCTCCATCTTTACTATTTCCATTTCACACAACAGTCTGCTTGTTATTCAGTACAAATTTATCACCACAATATGTTAATTTTAGATTTAGTTTAGCATATTTTTGCCATCTAATTTTACCCTTCGGTATGCAATGGTTTTTACTTTACATCCCAAATTAGAGAATGGGCTGGTAAATTTTTGTAGGCTTTTAAAATCTTTTAATGTCAAAGGTTTTATACAGAGACGCTTGTCTTGCAGTTGAAGACGTTTGAAGTCTCTTTACAGTGTTTATGCAAAATTTGCATAACAAATACACATATTGGGAAACAGATGAAATAGATATTGTATTTTATGTCCTTACGTCAAATGCCTCATTTAGAAAGTACACAAGATCTTGCAGCTTGTTTCAAAATGAAAGTGATGCAGATTCTTGTAGTCATAGTTAAGTCAGTTAGTGTCTTGTACTGATTTGAGAAAATCAAAGTTCTTTTGAACATACGAAGAGAAATATTTTTATAAATATAAGTCTAGTTTATTTTGTTGAAACGGAATGGGCAGGTTATTAAACGGGTAAATTGTGAGATTCATAAAAACAGCTTGTAAAGTGCTAAACAATTTGTTTTCAACAATCATTTCCTATAAGTTGTGTGTTAAGCAGTCTTAGTGTGTAAATGTTCCAAATTATTATCAAGTTTTATAAAACGTAAAAGTGTTAATTCATTCAGAAAATTGCTGAACAGATTCTTGTTTTCATTACTCTTGGTAAGCATTTAACTTAATTTTAATATTCATCCTAAAAATGGGAATTTTTTGAATGTAATTAACATTTCACTTACCTAAAACTTGATCTGCTCATCCAAATGTTATCGATTTTGTTTAAAGCTCAATTTGGCTCTAAAGTGTAACAAATTTAATATGTAATTGAGTACTGTAGTTGTAAATATAATACAGTGTAAAACAAGATAAGTATACAACGTGAGGGAGGTCCAATGGGGGCAAGATATACATGCTTTTCTTACTAAACATCCGCTTGAACATTGGGCTTTAGTTTTTATTCAAAGCTAGTTAAAACCTAGTCTTCCGTACTTAAGTGCGATATTGACAGATTCAGTACACAATATTTTCAGAGCATTTGAAATGGATTTGTTTTTTTCCTTTGTATCACAGATTAGGCCATTGTAGTATAAGGCAGTGGATGAGTTGTTATTTTGACATTGAGGTCATTGAGGACATTGGATTTGAGGTCCCATATTTTAAGGGGGTAAAAACATCAGATGTACGCTACATTACATATTGATAGTACACCAATACTAATGCTATATTTCTTAATTTTATATATTTGAATTTTACCAACATAGTGACTCTCATTCTGCCATGATTTTCTTTCCCATATGGATGTAAAATATTATTTTATCTCATAAATGTTGACAACTTTATCCTAGAACTGCCACACTCTCTGCCTGTCAGTGACTATACATAGTGTATAATTTAGTTTAGTATAAAATTGTCTTCATAAAAGTACAAGTTTAGAGTTATATCTGCCATCAACAAGGGACTATTTAATTCATATATAATAGCCAAAGTTTTAATGTTTTTGGATTTTACTTGACACTGTAAAATTTTAAATAAATTTTTGAAACTGACGGACCAAAAACACAACTCATCTACGGCTGATTGGCTACAGCTATTGAAGGTAGTTTTTTCAATCTTTTATTGCTGTGCCCTCTCAATAAGTCAATTCTCAACGCAGCATTCGGCTCCTTGATTCATACATTGAAACAAACATAGAATATCCTAGAGGGCAGATAAAATTATTCAACCTATATTCAAGCAGATGTTAAAGAATAAAGGTAAATTTTTAGTGAAGGAAATTCAGGAATTCTCAGAAGAAGAAGAAGTTTATTAATCTAAATAATGCATTGTTAGATGTTTCAATTTCACCAGACCGATGCTTGAGTGCAATAAATAGGCTAAACACGAGAATTGAAGCACCTTGTATCCACCAATGTAATTTATAGGCCTATGGTACCATTATTGTTAGTGTCAATTGTTAAGTTTCAGCAGGCTGTTTTATTTCCACTAAATGTCTTTCTTGTATGTAGCCTTATACGATTGTTGTTTAATGTGGCACAAAAATATATTTTATTGTTTAAACCTTTGTTGAAATGCATGTTGTTGTTGAATCTTACATCTGGGTAACATGTTTATGTATTTTATGTTTCTTCTTGCAAATTTATTTGAATCAAAGACTTTTTTTGGTTAGTTTAATCTACGGTGTTTTATCTCACTTTTTTTGTCATGACATCTTTTTTGGACTGCAACTTCATGTAGCCCTTAAACATATTGAGGATTCTCAATGTTTTTAATCTTTCATCACTATTTAAGTATATTAAGTATTTATGTTCATATCTTTGATCTCAAATTTACTGTTTCACAAACTCAACATTTTGATAACTTCACTTCAAAGAAATAAAGAAAATGTTGCGAGTAAGTGTTTGGTGACGGTTTTATAATGATTTCAATTCCACAACAAAAATTGACTCAACAGGCTCATTATTACTCTTACCCGAAGCTCAAATAAATTAGCAAGAAACTAGTTGTGATGTAGTTGGCTGGGAGCCGGTACGATCTGTCTAAATGTAAGACCTAACTGTCTGTGATGTTGCTTGTTTTGTTGTTAGAAAATTATTAATGTTGATAATCTGTTTGTAGATATGTTGAACTAACTTTAGTGTTGGTTTACACATTCCACCTTTTCTCTTTTTTTGCAAATGTCTTGTAGGTGAAGCAGTGATTGGACAAGGGTTGGCAGGATACTGAGACTGTTAAAAAGTCCTATTCTGTTTTATTGAATGGAAAAAATTAATACTTATTTTTGAAAATATGAATTTGCCTGTTCTTGGGCTTGTTAAAAAGACTGCTGTTGTATCGCTACAAATTTATAATTTAGTAATCTGAAATAAATCTTGAGTAATAGCCATATTCTCATCTAGTACACATCACAAAGCCCTAGCCAAAAAAGAGGAAGGGGGAAGGGATAAGGTTGAAAGGGCTTTGCCATTCTTAATGTAGCATCTCTTATTATGTTATCTATTGTTGTACATTATAAATCAATTTAATCGGTAAGATGTGAGAAACTATTTTCTTACTGAATTATTTTAAATATGCCAATAATGAGTGATTATTGAGTTGTATATTGAGATCAGATAGAAGTGGAGTTCTAAGGTGCTGGTTGCCCTGTAAGGTGGGATAGCATTGTTTACGTTAAAGTCGTCAAATGCATGGTCGGATGTGGTGATTTTGTTATCGATGGATTCTTGTCAAACATGTTAGTTGTTAATCTTATTTCAAATTTATGCTAAGTTAGTGTAATTTCTAGATTTCTAACTAAATGTAAATGTAATAAAAATTATTTTTTATTTGAAATGTTTAGATGATTTTGTCTATCCAGTTGCTACCTTTTATTGAGGTGACAAATTCTTAAATAGTATATTTCAAGTACCGAAAGTGGCATTTTCTGGTGCGCGTTTAAGGCAAAGATGAACATAGGCACACCAGATTGTGAGTTGAAGCTGATCATGTGTGAGTGAGTTTCACGTAAGGCAAAGCTGAGGACGGGAATAATTGGAGCAAGCATCGAAAAATCACTTTTGGTACAAGTTATGAATGATTCTTTTCATCAATTATGTCTGTTTCTGTTTGCAGTTAAATGGTCCAACCATGAGAATAGGTGATTTAAATAAAAAAAAAAAAAAATCACCTTGTGCTGCGTGCTGCATACATTTGATTTATATTTATTTACTGAACAATTGAGATTCAGACTAGTTAGAGTTTAATTGTGTAATCAAATGTAAGTAATAATTTGAGGTAACATATTTTAAATAAATTACAGCAACCCATTCAGTTATCAAAACACTATTAGAAAGTTTATCTCAAGAAAAATTTTACACCGCTTAAAGTTGTACCACTACCAAAATAGCATATAGTGCATTATCAAATTTGGATTTATTTGAAGTTGAAAGCTGAAGATCCAATGCAAACATTGGTATTCCTAACCTAACCTAATCCTCAGATCGGGTAGATGACCTCAGAAAACATGAATGAATGGTAGTGATTCTTACTTTGATTTCACAAAGAACGTCGGGATTAGGGAAGGTAAGAAAGAGTACAGTTAAGGCACACATTTCGCACCACGGTCTCACTGGCGCCCCAGTCAAGGGGAGCAGTTTACCTCCTCCCGGAAACACTACTGGCCATAGTAATAAATTGGAGAACTGGTTGAGAGCAAGGGTAAATCAGCTGCCCGTTTTTCCTTTGGTATAAATCAAGGCTTAGGAAACAATTATTTTCTTTGATTTCAGCTGTCATAAAAAAAGCTATTTTCTGTACGTTGCTATTAAAATATGAATATAATTTTTTAGAAATGCGATTTGATTTTAAAACATTATACTGTTGAGTCACTGCAAGTTAAAGTAATACGTGGCCACCTCTTTCTACTTACTGAAAATAAAATAACTGAGGGAAACTTGGACCTTATTGTTTAAGCATTTTACAGTTTTGTTAATCTACCTACTATATAGTTATTTGCGTATTAAGAGCGCAAAGTGTGTCATTGCCGCTCCAGAACTGTAGATGGCCGCACCAAGTTTTAGGTGAGTATGACCATACACTTTGAGAGCGGAAATGACTGTTTGTGGAAGTAATATACACAAGATTTTCCTACGACCATAATTAACTTATCACAAACCAAAGATGAACTTTTTAGTTGTATATTAAAATTTCATTTAGGTTATTTTTGTTTTTTTAGGTTATGTTTATTTGCTTACCGGTTGTTAACGTACTGGCTCTGTGGCTGTGGTTGGTGTAGAAACGCTAAAAGCGAAATCAGCTTATTTAGCGAGTTGAAATGGTCATTTCCGCTCTAGAGCAGAAAGAGCTATTTTTTTACTGTTTACAGGTGTGGCAATGTGATACATGCAGTGGTAGGAATAATAAATTTCAACTTGTACTGTAATTCCCTTTTAGTTTTTTTCTAGAACAGTTCACTCTTGTACTGGTTCACTTTTTGCTTTGCTTGATAATAAAGCACACAGGCCCATCTGGACACAGACAAATCTAAGGTTTAGGAAGGTTACCAAATTATTCAATAAAAAAATTACATCCTGTAAAATCCAAAACCTATTTTTGCATATTTCGTTTAAGAAATAGGGAGGTGTTTTATTGGTGTAAAATGGTGCCATTTTCAATGTATAAAAATTAATTATCATTGTTATATCCCAGTGTTAGAAAATTCTACTAGTTTCCTTTATGAAAATATGATTTTCATTTGTTGGTTTTATTGAGTTGTGACAAGAGTTGGAAGGGCTGGTACTAATTTTATCCTCGGCCTACTTAATTGGATAGTAACAAATCAAATCAGACTAAAAAAATAAATAAATTTAAACAAATAAAATACAATACGAGGAGTTTAAGAAGCATCACATATTCATTTACTAAAATAAACATTGAAATTAATTAACAAAACCTTGAAAAACTGTTGTGTTTAAAAAGTATGCTTTTTGATAATAGTCTAGAGTATAGTACCATAGTACTATGGAAGTAAGCCTACTTGACCCTCAGTGTTCTGTGCGTAGAAGTAAGTTGTGTGAAATTATTGTCCGAATTGGGTTACTAAAAAATATCGTCATTTGCTCTTTAAAACCTTTTGATTAAAAAGAGAATTTAAAACATGAGAATAACAATTTATTTCATTTGTATGGATGTTGAACAGGGAACACAATACATCATGTGCTCTAGAGCGGAAATGACCATTTCAACTCGCTAAATAAGCTGATTTCGCTTTTAGCGTTTCTACACCAACCACAGGGAACTCCCTGGGGAACTCCCCAGGATATCCTAAGGACATTGCGGGATATACAGAGGATATCCCCAGGACATTCCAAGGACAAAACCTTATTCGCCAGAGGGTTTCATACAAGAAATTACTCCTACCATCATGGGATGTCCAGGTTGCTGAGGGCTGGTGGGATACTAGAAGAGATATCCCGTAATCTCCCGGGAAATCCAGGATGTCCGTGGGACATCCAATGTCCCGGGTTATTGCGGGATATCTGTAGGATATCCTACTAATCCCGGGATTTGGATAGGATATGTGGGACTCTCATGGCATATCCTGGGGACGTCGTGTGCTGTGTGGGCAGACAAGAATGATTCAGCAATTTAATTTCCCATTAAATGCACAGAACATCGGTCATAATTTTAATTCATGGACATTGAAACCGTACATAGTATAATTAACTACCTTATATTATACTGTAAGATCCATATTATATAATAGTGTTATAGAGCACCAAAAACAAACATTACATTGAGGTAAGTCGGTGGCTCAGTCAGTAGCATCACGGACTTCGGGCCCAATACCAAACATTTTATCAGTACAGTTCATTCTTGTACTGTACAGACAGATTCGCCCCTTGCTTTTGCGTCGCGTGGAACGTTCCACGCACAGTTCCTCATAGTCTATGTGGACGGGCAAATGCAAAGTTAAGAGGCCGGCAACCTCATAAAAAAATTAATTATCGGGGTAACTCAAAGTAGACTTAGGCATTATATTCAATTTTCGTAGGATAATTTAAGCCCTCCATCAGGGTGAGCGCGGAGCGGTGAGATTTAAACTTCAACAACAATAACGCCAACGAAATATAAACTATATTCGGCTATTCACACATATCAAGATTATAAGCCAATCATCGAATCCGACTTACCAAGTTGGATTCGACTTTCGGCTTTTCAAAGAGTGTTATTAGGTACATTGAAAGAAAAACAGATGCATTACACTAGCTTAATCGGGATGTCTTAGAATAGCTACTCTAGAAACCCTGCGAGAGTCTAGCAGGAACATAACGTGTTTAGGAAACTAATATACTAAAAACCACAAAATTGTCAATCAATTTTGACTTTCAATTTCTATTGTTAGCTAAATATAAACAATATTAATGTCAGTTTAGTATTATAACTATTTAAATAGTGAAATAATCAAGCAATCGACGGTGAGTAACTGTGATCGATTGAAGAGAAATCTAGCGGTGACTAGGGGAAATATGTGGACAGACGCTACTTGGCGCCTAGCGGTGAATAGGCGAACTATGCGGACCTCTCAGCTGCTTCACGAATAGCAGTGACTAAAGGAACATTTTAAAATTATAAATTATATTTTATAAAATAAATAGTTATAGCATAGAAATTAAGTAGATTTAGTTAATTTACAATAACTATCTAAAGATAAATACATTAAACTAGAACAGCTATAGTACAGAAACGAAATTTGTTTGCTCCGGTGTACGGATACCTAAAAAAGTAACTGTTGTAAAACTAACTGTTGTAACTAATAAACTAATAAACTAACTGTTGTAAACTGTGGTAACTGTGTAAAAGTAGCTGTTGTCAGCTAAAAAGTTTGATTTATTTAAGTTACACCTAAACAATTAAGAGAATTACTAAAAAGTAAGTTAGCCCAATTTAATCAAACTATATCCTCAAACAAGCAAACTACAACATTTTACTTACTCACCATTAAGATAACATGGGAATTTTAAATGTACAGTTTTATGGACTTTTCCCTGTCTCTATTAGGCGTACGAGTACGATTCATTATACTAAATTATTTTATTTTTATCCCTACAAAAATGGTTTGTAGAGAAATTCCATTTTTTTTTCTCGAGGGTCAAAAGTAGAAAACCCGTCTTATAATGATGGTTCGCGAACTCGTTCGAATAGTTGTACGTTTACATGTTTGTACTGAATTCAATCAAAATCGGATGATTTTTAATCGAATTATCGTGCTTACTTAGAGGGAAAAGTTAACCAACCATGGGTCTATTTATTACCATGAGACATACGGTTATCTCTTATTTCCCAAATAGAAAGTTCGTAAAAAATCTGTTTTAATAATTTCCATTGTATGAGACAAAAGACAAAGACCGTGTTCCTAGTTTCTGCATCTGTTTAGTAGATGTTTATGCATCAACATTAAAACACGTTCATGTACCCGAGGGATATTTAATCATATTATTTATTTAATCACTTTCCTATAGGGAAATGCTTGTTTATGCAAATAATTTGATCAAATGTCGTAAATTATTAAGCTATTAAATTTCAATTAAAAAATACACTTTATAATTTTTTTATATTACCTTACCGAAACAGTAAACCTAACTCATTTAAATTAATGTTATTTAAATAGGAATTAAATATGATTTGTTTAGATAGATTGAATTTTGTTGTCATTGTGACAATAAGTATTTACTTCTCAAGACCCACCCGTAACATTGAAGGCCTAAAACAAATCCGTAGTCAACTTCTGGGTATACTTTATAGGCTTACAGTTCAGTATTTCAAAATGTGTCTTATTTCAACTAATTTTGATC